AGCTGGCTAACTTCTTAACTAACATTCTCTTTGGTGCCGCGACATAAAAAAAATAAACTAAAATTAAACACTTACTCTCATAATCAAAATCTTAATCCTACAGAGGCTGTTCCCACATTTTTTAGACGATGTATATTGTATTCACAAAACTAAATTACATAAAATTCTTGTGTTTTAAATGTTCTATTTGACATCCCTTATTCTGAACTATCTTTCAACACCACAATTTCCAGGATAATAATGCCTTTTGAAGTGGCAGAAGAGATATTCTATCCCATTCCTCTCGAACAGCTTTCCAAGTCCGTTAGTGTTTGGGACAACTTTGTATAATGCAGTTTTTAAAAGTTCAAAAGCACAAAAACCATAGGTGACACACGGGAGATTTGGTAGGGATATCAGAAGGTATGGGCCATGATACCAGTTTTTGTTCATTCTTTTAGAAATTTACAGTGGATTTTGATGTGGACTGCTAGCTTTGTCCGATGCGTCTCACAATTGATGGCACTGTGGGTAAAGCGATGGTATTTTACAGAAAAATTGGCGATAATATTTCCTGATAGTATTTGGAATTAATCTTGGCATTTTTTTGCATCTCTTATTTTTACTTGCCATTATAAAGCAAAACAAACAACAATCATGAATCCCTTAGAAACTTTCTTTCGATTCTTGAACATGTACTTAAATTTTTTTCTCCCTTTATGATAAATGGTCCTTTTTTTTTGTGACATCATTTAAATACATCCATGCTCATCTATTGTGACATTTTCCATTTTTTTTTTCTTTGGATAAGTTTTCTCATAGAATTCTGCAACATTCCTGCGTTGAGATATGCTTGGAAGAAGACGATGCACATTGCGTTTTTTCGCTTTCATAAAGATTAATCAACGTTATCATTTTGTTTACCGTGGACACCGAGCATTTTAATGATTTGCAACTGTCCTTTGACTAGGGGGATTTTCTTTTACTTAAACAACGTACTTTTGCAATAGTCGAAGATGTCCGTTTTTTCCTTGGATAATTGGTTGGAATTCTTGTCCCACTTGAGGCCCAATTTGGCATTTTTTTCTTTCTTGTTGATAAATTACCTATCGACGCTTTAGATATCACAAAAACCATGACTCTCACACACGTTTATGGATACGGAGTATGATATTTCTCTTCGGAAAGAGCGTAAATGTAGCCTTCGAACCAGTGCTTTGTCAAATTGCCATTTGATAAAAACAAAACTTTAAAACTTGTTTAAAAACAAAAAAAACTTTGTAAACTTTCAAGCCACAGACGATAATTTTGACTTTTAGAAACATAGTACAATTGCAATTACTCTTTTGCAGCAAACGATTTTTTATTATCGCTTACCAAAATCTTCTAAAAAATGTGCGAACAGCCTCTGTATATCAAAGAATGTGAAAGATTCATCCCTGGTGTTTTGTTAGAATCAAAGATTATTTATCAAAACAAAATGTTAAATACACTTCCGCAACAAAATCATTAACACGCTAACCCTCACTAAAATAAAACTAATTCAGATCTCCAACCTAAAACACATCAATATCGATACAACTCTAGAGATTTCCCTAAAAAACAACATGTAAAATGCAACACAGAACTCTTCAAAACACCAGAGAAGGATAAATCTCACACTTAAGTCTACTCATCAAATCAAAATAAATTAAATAAGCCGATCGTCACAACCACTTAAGACTGATTTTTCTACTACCCAGGTTCGAAAATAACCATATTTTCCGCAATGATCATATGGGTGACCTACAGTAGACCACAAGAGAAAACTCAAATAAACATACACTAATTAAATCAATAAACACATTTATTAAATAATCCAAATATTATAATTTTAGATAGCTGGCCAGACTACCCCTACAAAATTGTTTTTTAAAAGTTACTCATAGTTTTTTTTCATATCAATCTCATTTCAATTTAACAAAAATCCTAGTGAAACACCTCACAGTTATTAATCTTTTAAACATGTACTCAAGAATTTAAACTCATGACAATTAAACATTAAAAAATATAACTAACACCTTCTCAATTATAAATTACTCATTAATACTTTCTCAACTATTAATTGATTGATTAACAGGAAATATTCGAATTTTAATCTACATAAAAATGTCAGCTAAAGCTTTAGAATTTTACACTTCCAAAAAAACTAACGATTACTTATTAAAAGAAAAGCAAAAATGAAAATAAAAATGTACACTCACGGAATTCGTGTAACACAAGTCTGAGGGACTTGGAGAGTTATCCGGATCCAGTCACAAAACGTCGAAACAATAACTGCCAAAACTTCATCGCTGTCAGGAAAACCGATACTGAAATCAGTTCAACGGGAAGCACAACGGGAATTTTCATTTCAAAGCACAACGGGAATTTTCATTTCAAAGCACAACAGGAATTTTCATTTCAAAACACAACGAAATTTTTTTTTCCTCTATCCTCCGTCCAGCAGCATTTTAACTCAAAAAAATCAGCGCTTCCCTTTTATTTCGAACCCCTTTTATTCCAAAAACGGTTTGTAAAATAACAGGAAATGGACAACAGGAGACAACAGACCACTGCAGACGTCAGGAAATGATGATTTCCAAAGTAAACTGGAACTTCAAGGCGAGCAATTCAGATTCACCTCTTTCTTCCACCAGTGGGAAAACGTCAAAAACATGATTCTCAATCAAAAGTTGCCGGTCCGGGATAACGCCAGACCTTCCGTCAATTTTGGCCGAAGTATATCCGAAGGGAGCCCGCAATGAGCTCGTACCGGTCCCCGCGGCCAGTATCTCGGAGATGAACAATATTAACCGTTACCGCGGTCGCCCACAAGCGGGCTACGCTCCTTTCAAAAGTATATCAAAACTGGACCAAATCTCACAAAAATTCCCTCTACTCCTACCGTGCAAGGGCTTAAGAAACCTTGATAGACACTCACAACGTAAAAACCTCTAATTCACTATTGGATCAAATATTAATAAAATCAAAATTTAGCCAGTCTTAAGCAAAACTTGGACCTCAACTAGCCAACTAGAACAGAGGCAATAAATAGCCTCAAGAATTCGAAAAAATTCAGAACTCTGTACCAGATGACAGACCCTTTCTTTCCAGCTCAACAGAAGAATGTTTTCAATCGTAATTCAGTTAAACTTGCGTCATCCGTAGGTAATAAATACGTCATCCAGTTCTCTACTTTAGAAAGGCCGAAATACTTTCTCGCCTCCACACCCTAAACATGTGCGGTCAATCCCACGAAAAGAGGAAAATGCAGCTGGGCGGTCCGACCCCTGACCCCCACAAGAAGCCGACTTGTGAGAAACAGAAATACACCCGCGCCCTTTTAACTGTAACACATCTTCAGCCAAATATAAAACAGCTTGCCGTAATTGAACGAAAAGTTTAAACAGTACTAAATATTTACTTAAATTATTCTTAAATACGAACATTACAAGTTCATTGTTCACAGTAAAATAATATAATTACTAAGAATACCTTATGCACAGTAAAATAATACGTAATAATTGTACACAACAAAATAATACATAACATTTTCTATAACAATACTCGTATTTCCCATCATTTATAAACAATTAGCTGTTTTGACATATCTGAACAACAGCGAAAAAATACGCAAAAGTCAGACTTCAGATGAAGTTCCTGCGCATTATCACAAATCCACAGTAACCTGACAGAAATCAAATTTTACATGAAGATAAGAAAATGGAAGCCCATTGAAAAATTCCTAAACAGGACAAATACTAATATTTACAGTAACGCTCTTGCCTCGGAGCATTTCAAATACTTAAATCTGTTTCATTCTGAAATCCTCAAAGACAATAAAGACGAGAATTTCTGCAGCGCGTCTTTTCGAAAATAACAATTTTTTCTCCTAGCTGCCTACGCATATATGTAAGTATATATTTTTTCATATATTTCCTGTTTTGCCTTTAGTCTTACTATCAGTATTTTGTTACGTTTTCGTATATCTTCGTTTGATTTTTATTTGATTGTTTGAATTGCATTTTCTCTGAAGCACTTTTTTATTGTGTGCATTTCACTGTTGGTACTTAAATGTGGATTTCTCATTTTCTGGATTACTATTTCAATTGCATTATTAATCATGTTGCAGTATACATTTTCGGCGCAATTATTCGCGGCATAATGGTTTAGATTTGCTTAGTCTGTCTGTAAAGTGTAAGTATTCACTTTCTGAGTAAATTCGTTTATAATTAAGATAATCAGCACTGCAGTATTTCACAGAAACTCCTGTATTTGATCTAAATCTTTACTGTAAATCTTTACTTTACCAAAGCATTAATTTACAAAAACTAATGTGAGAATATCCTTCTGTCAGCAACTTTTTCAATACTACAATCAGCAATTTTTTTCTTCAGTAAAACCAATTTTGCTGATCATCAGCAAAATTGGTTAATGTGTTTAAATCTTTGGTAATTTTGTTTGGTAGAAAATTCTTTGCCATTTGACAACTCGATGGCTATGGCGAAAAGTTGTTAGATTAATCTAACCTGTGGATAAAAAAAAATAATACGTATTATTTTCAAGATAATCAAAACTATATCTTTCTAAATTTTATGGCTGAAAGTTTCTCATTATATTCTTAACGGATATTATTCTTAAGGGAGTTACAAATTTAACATTCTGACGTTTCTTATCGACACAAAAATTAAAACTCCCATCAAAGGCGGATTCATGAAAGAGCTTCTAACTTCCCTTGAATACTTTGGGGTCTTCTTCTTAGGACACAGGCTATAATTTTTAAAATTATCTATCAATTTTGAGGGCACTTGGAAACACTTAGAAATCCTAGCTTCTAACACTTGTGCAGTTAGCTCGACACCATAAATCTGTTCCGGTCTCTATAAAGCATAGACTAACAAGAACTAAGCAAGGTCAGACTAAGGCACACTAAACGTTTGTCATTAGAATCAACTGATACCCATTAAATGGATTAAAGATCCAAACAAGATCAGACTTACAATGAGACTGAGAACAGCACTCTCGTGTCCCGTCATTTGTCGAACGCATTCTCCTGTTGAGATGTTCCAGCAGCAAATAAGTCCCTCTCCACCCCCACTGAAGAGGAATTTTCCTTCGGGATCTGGGACCAAAGCATTCACTGTGCCTGTATGACCTTTTAATACCTATAACAACAAATCACGTTTGTAAAATTAGAAGCACAGTATCAACAACTATGTCACTATATAATTGTACAAAATACTATCGGCAGTTTATATAGAATTTAGGTTATAGAAAACTGTTCTACTACATTGCATGTTTAATGTGCAAATTAAAACGGACGATATTGTTCTAAAAAGAAAATTCTTCTTCACTTTTCCTATCTTAGAAACAATTATAATACCTTAGACTAGACCTGACAACAGCATCAGACAAATAAAATTCTAGTAAGCTTAATTTAGCTTTTTCTCTTTTGCAACTTCGGCGGTATTAACTTTTTTTTTAAATGGATTCAATATGTGAAGCATGTGATTCTGTGAGTGTTAAAAACCTTTTTCTTACTTCTTTGTTCCTTTACTTTATTTTGTTTTAGCTTTAGGAATTAAATGCTAAAAAACAGTTATTTTGTCTATTTTCCACTTATTAACTTGTCTATTTTCCATGTTAAAATTAATCGGATTTCATCAACATTTTCACCACATAAAATTTGGCTCCTTATATTGTTTTAATTGCCTAGTTTCGAAACACAGTAAAAAATGCTTTAGAAAATTTGGTACCTTTATGAAGATTAAAAAACTAACAGTAACTATGATTACTTTTTTTTTCCTTCTTTTTATTTCATCCCTTTTTGTTTGTAAATAAAAAGGCCATTTCGAAGATAGTATTGAATCAGATGAGTTCAGTTTTTTCAATGACTTATAATTTTTTAAGTTAATAATTTCCAAATTAAGGTTCAAATTCGTCTGATTTTTTGTCAAAAAATGGTCTCCAACATCTATGCATTTGAGAAAGAGCTTTATTAAATCAATCATATGTTTATATTTTAATTTTTGGACATATGACTTATTCGCGTTATTAGCAAATTTGCTTTTTATTGTTCTTTCTTTCTTGCAGTTAAACTAATATTATTAATCATTTTAAATGTGTTTTGATACTTGTTTACGTAATTAATGAGGATTAAAATATTGGCAAAATTATGTATCTATATGTGTGTGTAAAATATAAAATATGAAAGAAAATTAATCGCAAATTACTAACTTAATTGGCAATATCTCTTTTAACTCTCAATTTTTTTACTACATTTTTTTACTCCAATAAAAAAAAATCAATTTTTTTTACTCCATGAATCTGTACTGCGCTATTTACGTCATTATTTCATCTGAACTGATCTGCAATGCGAAAGCTCTTATCCAATCACTATTCAAAATTGAAAAAAGGAGCCGAGCTTTTAAATACTCCATCTGCTTAATACGCAGTAGTTTTTCTCGCTTTCATCGCCTAACTAGCATCTGTTCGCCGCTTTGCAGCTTTTATCTATTGTTTAATAATGTGATATGCGTATATCAAATAATGGAATGCTTATAGCAACCCTGGGGCTGTACCAATCAAAAAGATGTATGGGAAGAAATTATTCGTCCAAAAATAAAGTGATGGTTTAGCTATGAAGCTCGTTGTGCTTCCTGAAATTCTAATCATCTAATAGGCAACCAGTATGTCTGCCATATTTATCATTATTTCCACCATGGCGATTAATGGGTGTCATTATTCCCGCCCATTAACGGGTGTCTTCTCTCACTCGAAAAGATCAGGATTAAAATCAATAAATTTCAGCACGTGCATCATTAGCATCATGAGAGATGTGGCGACATTCAGATTTGATCCATACTCTAGCAGAAATATGTGATATAACGCCTACAACTAACTGTGTGATCTTCTCCTTGAGGAGTTAAAGATTATCATTTCTTTGATTGTAAACCTCAGTTTTTGGAAAAATCCTAGAGGAAGATTCTAGTGCGGTAAGATCAGAATTTCTTGAGAACCATATGATAGATTCATTTCTACCAATTCAGCATCCTCTTATCCGACGATTCAACTCATGTTGAACACGATTCGCAAAGTAGAGCGTTGCTCCTTTCTCATGAAACTCTGCATATCCCATTTCACTTCCTACAACTCTGCATGTCCCATTTCACTTCCTACATTTGAGGTGACATAAAGAAGCATGTCGAAGAAGTTGATATTAATGTAACAACTGCAACAAAAAACGAGCCATAAAAACGCACGCATGTCATTGTTCTGTGTTAATGAGTTTAGAAAGCCAATTTTCTTATAAACATTTCAGTGTGGAATTAAGTGTTGGATATGCTACTCAATACTTCAACATGCATCAAGCACTGAATAATTAAATTCAACGTATTTGGTGCAGTCAGTTTTGACCGATGACCTATATATATGAAAAGAAGAATGTCTGTTTGTGTGTTTGTTTGCAAATAACTCAGTCACTATTATAGTTCTACAATTACAAATGTTTTACAATTCTTTTCTGGGTTCTGAGAAAGGTAGACATCCACTTTTTTTTTTAACAAAGGTGGCTAAAAGCAGAGATATTAATAAAAAACTCTGAAAACGCTAATTTTCGTCCTTATTTTTCCGGTGGGCAACAGTCTCGTAGTCTGGAGATAAAAATCTGCTTTATTTTGAGAAGTGTTGCCACTGCTCGCTTTTAAATTGTAGAATTTGTTAATAAAAAATTTCTAAGTTTTACAATGAGTTAAAAATAGCGTTGCCAAACATTAAATACATTGTTCCCGATTCCAAAAATTCGTGGGAAGCCATTTCGACTGTACCCATCTTCGTACGACTTTAATCAGCCTAGATATTAATTAAAACCTCTGAAAACACTAATTTTCGCACTCATTTTTACGAGTGGCAACACTATATCTATAAAGAAAAATGTCTGTTTGTGTGTGTTTTTGTTTGCTTTATCGATTTCTGATTAATTATGATCAATTTTTGTCACATCTAATAGACTAAAATTGAATTTAGGGAAAATATTGGATGGAACTTAAGCATTTAACGACCATTTGATTGGAAAGACGAAAATCATTAAAAACTGCGCGCATTTTTGAGGATATAATGATAGAGAATTTGTTTATTTTTCTATCGAAATTTTTTATGTGGGTTTCATATCACATCAGAGTGAAATATGTATGACTATGAATCGCATTTTTTGCATCGTTATTAGAGAAGTATTACAGCGGTATCGTTCTCTTTGTTGTTAGATACATTACTCTCAGTCTAATTTAACTGGCATCGGGTACTTCTGCTAGTTATGAAATAAAAAGAGAGAGAGAAATCTCGAGATTCTTTAGAATTTCTTGTCAAATGCCATCTAAAGAATTAAATGAATTAACTCTGAATTTAAAAAATGCTCAAAAATATACTATTTTGTATAAAATTAAGTAACATAAAAGAAACTCTAATTCTGGAATTTGGGGTCCAAAAACAAAACCCGTTGATCGGGTAAATCAGTTAATAACTTTGTAAGTATTGAATGTGCATTTGAATAAAAATTTATCATAACTGCAAAAAAGTACTATATTAAAGAATTAAATTAAAAAATACAAAACAACTTACTACTCCCTTGCCTTTTTTTTACCCTTGTCAAAACAACTGATTTCTTTTAAGTAAACAATGTTTTTAAAAATCTCGAAAATTTCTGGAAATGCACCTCGAATCTTGGGAACGATTAAATTGCGAATTTAGGTATTTCCGAATTTCAAGAAAGCTAAACATTCAGAAAATCTCCAGTCTCCTGGATACAAGGCGAACAAAGATTATTGTAAGGCATAGCACGCAAAGCCTTATCTGCCTAAGAGTCGAGATGTTTTCGATGAGATCTTTCTAAGGTAACTTGGCTTTAATTTACATTATATGTAGAAAAAAACACGAAACCCTAACCAGCCAGTCTATTCACTGCAATATAAACTTAGGTCAAACTACCTGTGCTACTAATCAGCTGATGAGCCAATAGGCATACACAGATCATGCTTGGGATAAGAAAATACGAAATGAGAAAAAAATTTGCATTGTTTAAAGCTGATATTTTCCCGAAACAATTCGAGAAGAATCGCTGCTCCAGTGCCTTCTACCAGATGTTCTCAAATTCCATCACAAGTGAAAGAACTTAGTACCTTTTTACTTCCTTGTACGAAGTAAAGAAAATATTGTAATCACGAAAAATTCCGGTGTCATATTTGAACGAAAATATCCGTTTTGGCCGCTATCGAATGAATTACGTAAGGACAGAATAAAGAACACTTTTTCCCCAAACGAATTATAAAACTTATTTAAAATGGATTCAAAAGAGATTTTTTTCGTGGCGTCTACACGTACGTACGTATGTACGTATCTCGCAAAACTCAAAAACGAATAGCCTCAGAACGTTGGCATTTTGTATATAGGACTGCTATAACATATAGTTGCACACTTCCTATTTTGGTTGCAATCGGCTGCATCTATAATGATTTATAATAAGAAAACTTTTCATATACCGTCTCCAAGGAACACAAATTCAATTTAAAACCATGAATGAAAAAAAATTTTTAGTCAAAATTTAAATTAGTATTTTAGATAGTAATTTCAACTTCTTCTTTAAAATTTTTGCTAAGAAAGATCTTAGTTCGATAATAAGTTTTTCTAATACTTGCGAAATAGCTGCAAAGTAAGATAATAATAATTTATTTACTAAAGGAATATTGATTATATTATCTCCTAATAAATTTAGTAGAAGTATCAAAAAAGAGGGAACCCAATTTAAAATTTTTGCTAAGAAAAAATCTATAAATATTAAATATAAAAGTCTATAAATATTTTTTACTATCCATATCAACATGAACATCGAATATCTATAGAAACCTACTATTTTTCGTTTTCAGTAAATCATTTTAGATGTTCAAGATTTAATAGTTTAGGTCAACATTTAAGGTAGCTTAATCCAAACAACATTGTTTAATATCTTAGTTGCCTGGCTAATGTAAAATGTTTTGTCACAGAATCATTGGTCGAACTTCCACGTAAATGAGGTGAACCTATCTTTCGTTCGCTTTGCTCTAGCCAAAGAACCTCTATTCTATATTCTTTGCTGCAGCCATCTCTTATAGAAAAGTTGATTATTGCGCCACTATTGCTTTGGCGTCCTTGGAACTGGTAAATAACCGGAGGGTCGAAACAATGCCTGCTGCTTAGAAACCCCATATTGCGCTGCAATACAGAAGTGCACTTCATTTTAGATATTCAAGATTTATACTGCAATACAGAAGCCTTCAGAACTAATCTGTGAATTTATTTTCCGAGTACTCATGTTGCTTGATTAATAAGTTTTTCAGATGTATGAAATCCTTATGATATTTGCAACTTATGATGGGTTTATCAAGATATAACAGCTTGTTGCATGATGAGAAATACCTGTAAAAATTTTAAAAATATGGTACTTACATTCATTGTTTTTGCATTCTTGAAGCACCATATTCTGATTGTCTTATCTGAGGAACCTGTGATGAAGATATCTTTTTCACTGATTGTTTTACCATCTAATGAACTCTTATCGTCTGGGACGAAAACGAGAGGATAAACTGCTTTGGAGTGACCCTAAAGGGAAATAAAAAAGTATCATACATTTTAAAATGCCTTTCAATACTTCTCGTCTCATTCAAATGTGAATTTTAATTAATTTCCTAATAACTTTGTTTTAGATGGAAAAAGAAAAAAGAAAGTTATATCACACAGAAAAAAGATAATTATTAAAATGGTACACCAAAAAAAAAAAAAAATTATTATAACAGAGAGTAAAGTTAGCAACGTTTTGTTCGCTATATCCGATCCAATATAAGAAAGGTATTATCTTCCAAAAATATGTAAAATGAACAGATTAACATTATTACATCTACCAAAAGAAGTCAATAATAAACCTAATTTACAAAAAATCCGATGAAGATATAATTACAATTATTGTTACGAGAAGTTATTAATTTTCATGTTCGTTTTTTTTTTTTTCTCGAGACTTTGCACAGTGTCTAGCAGATTCATTGCCTTTGTCTAACGCATTTGTCTGAAGCAATGGCAGATTACAGCCTCTCTAAATGGCGGAAAATTTCAGCAGTGCTTCTTCAACATCCTTATGTTCCATGTTTCTCAACAATTTCCTCCAAGAGTTTAAATTTCATGTATATGGTACCAGCTGTAGATTCGGACAAACTGTGTTTCTAACAGATATCGATTTCGTTGCATCCATTTTTTAATTCTGGAATAATGTTCATCTTATCTTCAGTGTGGAAGTGTATGGAAGGTTCATCTTATCTTCAGTGTCATTTACAACTTATCGTGTTGATGAATTTTTTATTCAGAAGCAGAGTCAAAGAATATGTAAAAGATTAACTCTTGCAGAAAAAATTAAACCGGAAGATTATTTCGTCTCCTTGTCTATTCGTGTTTTATCTAATATTCAGTGAGAACACAATCATTTCCCCAGATAGGTATGCTGCAATGCGAAGATTCAATAGTATTCATAAGTAATATCCTATGTCTTGAAAAAGACATAAAGAATGCAAAATTCCTATTCATAGGATAGAACCTGGGTAAAATTTATACTCATACAAAGCAAATCAATAACGATTAAAAATTTCAATTTTTCAAAGACGAAGAAACCTGAGGAGATTCACCAGTTTCAGTTTCCCCTAATACTGAAAATTTTAAAATGTCCATCATAGTATAGGCTTAAATAGAGCTCTGTCTGTCTCACCAATTCAACAAGTTCGAATGGAATTAGAGAACCTATTCACGTTTCCTGATTCAATGATCCTGTACACTATATGGTGTTATAAGATATACTTTTTATATCCTTGCCCCCAAGAGATCGGTGCTACACCTTAATAATCTTTGTTAAAACACAAAGAAAAGTGGGGGTGAAGAAGATAAAAGAAAAATAACGTAAAGAAATTTTACTAACGGAATGTGGATCCTAATATTCTAAACATTGATGATTATAAAAATTAGTAATTTCTTCGTTGAAACCTCCAAAATTCTGGGAAAAGTGTAAAAAATGAAAAAAAAAAAAAAAAAAAAAAAAACGTTTTTATTAAAGATATGCATACAGTTCGTTATATCCGAATTTTATACTCTTGGAAGTTCGCTATAGTGGTAAACAATAGCATTAAGAATATGGGAAACTTGACGGGATCAAAAGGCTCATTCGTTATATTTAGGAGTTCATTATAAGCAGGATTCGTTTTATGCGGGTTTGAAAAGATGTAAAAAGTAGAAAACAGGCCAGAATATTATACTTATAAAATATTATAACTCTTTATATTACTGTTATTTTTATAACAATATAAGTAATGAATAACAGCATATAATTTTAAGTGATTGGATTTCTGAAGTTCAGAACCCTCATATATATTTTTACCAATCAGTCGGAAATTCACAAAACATAGATCAGTAAAGATTAGTAAAACCTAAGATAGTGTAAAACCAACATTTCATTATAGATTTTTAAGACTATGAATAACTTATTCAGACATTTCGGTAGTTAGAGATAAACCCGGGGTATGAGTTTTGATTACTTGAACATCATTGCAGCAAATTATAGAACTTTTGGGGCTACTAAAACTTTTGATTTGCCATTTTGTTAGCAGCTTCCGCACACGCAGCACACAAAGTTATCTGAAAAGCTTATTACATTATGGAAAAAGAATTCTGGCAGGAAATATTTACCTCAAAGACCTTTAAACAAGCTTCTTCTATTGGAGCATACTGATGGGTTTGAAGTGTCCATGCTCTGGCTTTATGATCAATCGAAGAAGAGAAAAGGAAGTCACCGGCACATAAAATTCGATTGACTCTTTGTTCATGTCCCTCATACACATAAAGGCACTCGTATTTTGTGAGACACCACTTTCGGATAGTGCAATCAGCAGATCCAGACAGAATGAACTTGTCATGGAAAGCGAGACATGTGACGTAGTCTAAATGTCCTTTCAACGTAGCTTTGCACTGAGTTGGGGAGGTATTGACACGCCACAGAAGGACTATCCGATCTTCTCCTCCAGTAGCCATCAAGAACTTCTCAGGTTCCATTACCATGCAATTTACACCTTTCTTGTGCCGAGTGAATTTCTCTAATATATAGCCCTTAGCAGCATTGGGATTGATATCTTTAGAAGTATCAAGTCCCATTTTTATCTTCAACTAATTATTATATTATTTTATTATTCTGTCTTTTTATTTTGTTTGATTTTTATATTATTTCATTTTAATTTTAACTATAGCATTATTTGATATTTATATTATTTCATTTTAATTTTAACTATAGCATTATTTGATATTTATATATATTTAAGAAAAGGTTTAGGTCCAGTATACAGGCATAGATATTTATTTAGAGAAAAGTTTAATTAAATCTTCAAAAATGCAGGTTCCTTTAATACCTTTAATCAGTTATGTTTTACTAATGTTTAAAAATAGATATATCTTAACAAACACAAAAACATTTATTATTTTTATCAGAATTCAGCGTTTTAGTCTCAAAATGCCTTGTAAGCTACAAAATACATGTTTTATAAGTAAGTAATAATTTCAAAATTTATTATTGAAACAGGTCATATTCAAAGGGTAACACTACGTTTTTGAAACAGGTCAATAATCAGAAGACACTATACTTAAGGTAGTACTCAGCTATTTAAAGATTATGAAAATATTCTTTTTAATATAACATACTTCCAAAAGGCCAAGATGGCAGGAGATTTATATATCTATAAAAATATTAATAAATTTATTGACTTCTGAATTTAAGAATTATTTCTTTCAGAAAAACATCAATTTTCTTTGTAACGATAGATTTCAAGTACGCCTCCGAACATATCCTTCCGAAACGTGTTTAATCTGAAATTAAAGTAAAATAATAGCAGTTATAGAAATAATAACAACAATAATAATGAATGGAAGAAAAAAGCACTAGTTGTAAAGAGAATTTAGAAATAATACATGATAGAATTAAAATAAATATTTTGAAAATAAAGTCACCTTGATGGATTAAAAATTCATCAGAATTTGTATAACTTTAAGTTAAGAAAATAATAAACGATATTTTCTCATTCTAATAATTATTTTCAGTTTTGCTAATAGTTAAGCTTAATTTTAACACTCCCCTATCTTATCTTTGAATCTCGCCACATATAAACTCAGATGAGAAAATTATGCAAATTAAATCATTCACAAGAGAGTTTAAAAGCTCTCCAAAGTTAACTGCAAACCATGTCTTGTTGAGCGAGGGTTCGCTGTTCTTAATTGCCAGCAAATAGCGTATGCTGGGAAAGAGTTTGCTGGGTTTTTTTCTCCCCCTTTAATGGCGGGTCCTAGTCGTTTATAGACACTGGCCAATACTAAGGTCGGAAGCGACGGTTTCTTTATTATGGAGGCACTTAATAAGCGGGAAAGTTCATAGTTGCCTTCCTTGAACGAACGGACAAATTACATGCATAATTTCTCTGGGATTCGAACCCGTGCCCTTCGGTGAGGCAGTCAAAGTCACTAACCACTTTCCCGTCTAGGCGGCGTTTCCTACCGGTATCCAGCCGCATTTGAAAGGTTGTCATCCGAAGCTGGTGAGTGAGTAGTTGAAAAGTTAAAAAGAAGAACCTGATGTCTTGTTTCAGATTTGATTCTAATATTCATACGTTTCAAGGCAAATTCCCTGATTGTTACTCATTATTATCGATATCAGCATTTTATCTGGTATCGAAAGTTTTTGTAAATTCTTGCTTTAATTGTAATCCATCGATCGAGGACAAATAAAATTTGCTGTATTTTAATCTGTTCTTGTGCAAGATGATTGTAATCCAGGGGCCAACTCGCGATCATTTAGAAAGTAACTCTTAGCGAAATACCATCAGGCTAACTTATTTAGGATACATTTCACTGTTTATTAGTCTTACTAAAATAGAATTACATTATTTAAAAATCTAAATATTTTTCCAATAAGAATTTATTGATAAGCAGCTCATTTTCACGTTCTCACGCGTTTTATATCCCGCATTATGTTTTTACAGCTTTTGTGTGAAACATAACTTGTGATATGTCTAAACATGCACAAAACTGTCAGTTCGTTACAGCTTTGTTTCCCCGTAAGCTACGAAATTTGAATGAGCAGCCATCATGGGGTTTTCGTGGCTTCCCTTGTATGTAATATACATCAGACAACAACAACAACCAAAAAAAAAAAAAAAAAAAACCTATCAGCTTTATATGGAACTATTTCATATCACCATTATATAATAAAACCATATGTGCATTCTTTCGTTTCAAAGATGCAGCCAAAACTCAGTAGTTAGGAAAAGTAATATTAGTGGTTTAGAAATTAGGTTCAAGTGATTAAAAAAATTGTCATAATTTTCTACAGGTTAGTGCATTGCATCAGAAGAAAGTGATCAAATTTGCAGATATTAGAAAAAAAGAAGCTTAACATATGTGTAAATAAAATATCAATCTTTACTGAAAATAAAAAGTTTAGACAAGAAATCATGAATACGGGTAGCGGAGAAATATCTTGCCTAATCAATCAACGATACGAGAATTTAAATAAAATAGAAACTACTCTAATCTGTCAATAATAGACCTCATATGTAAATATCTTCCAGAATATTGGGTAGAAAACTTCATAAAATAGATATCTGTAATTGAGTTGTGAGAAGGAAGCCAATGTGAACTTCATCCCAGTAAACAGTAATTACTTTAGCTTGGATCAAAGCTCAGAAGGCATTGACTAGTGATTAGCGGATGGCTGTTGTGTGATCGAATGGTTCTAAACTTTTTCTGTATTCAAATGACTCAAGAAGCAAAAGGGCTGTAAAAGCATTCTACATTATTCCACAGGGGACTTGAAGAAACATCCAGATCTCTTTGAAATAACTTTTAATGAAAGAAGTTAATCTCTATTCCTGTATGATAAATTTAATAGTTGTGAATTAGGCTCATTAATGAAGGAAGACCAAACACTGAATCAGCATGCTTACGTAGAAATTTTAAGCAGTCATGTGACTGCCTTCGTCCGATATCTGAAAGGTTATCGTACAACAAAATATGCGGTTTACCAGATTTATGATTAAGGTTTAGAGTAAAAGTGTGATAGACTAGAATGAAGAGTATGATAGAACACTGGAGACAAAGGAACTAAACAGCTAAACAGCCTGATTTAAAACCCCATGGAGACTACATGTACAGGGTTACCAGTAAATGTACTGGATTGCCAGGATTACAGGAAGTATTTATAATTATCAGATTTCTTACAATCTTACTTCTGGTTGTTCTAACTTATCAAGGTTTTTCTAGAGTTAATGTTTCTACGGGAGTTAATGATAATTCAAGGTATCTAAATAGTTGGTCTAGGGATAGTTGGTCTTCAACAAGTACTAAACGAGGCATTCTTCCAGTGTTTCAGGAATTGTAGGAGCGCTGAAGCGAATGTTGGGTTTCGATGGAATTTACTTTGGAAATGACTTGGTGATAATTCTTCACATTTCAAACAACTGTTTGACAAGAATTTTCCACTAACACGGGAGCGCTACAAATTAAAACATCAAGTGCATTCTAAAACTACTAAGCTGAAGTTTAAGAAACTAAGAACTCAAAATTTTATTTACGAATAAGTGTCAGTATAGAAACACGCCCGGAATATTTGGATGTCTATGAAATATGTAGAACACAAATGTAAGGCTTCAAGCATTAAATGAAAGCTGTTATTTCTATTGCATTACAAAATTCGTTTTATTTAGAGATAAAAAATCTGGAAATGTATAAAAGTACAAGAACATTTATTACGATTTTAAGTCTGATGACTTTTGGTCGCATACGCTTTTCAGAGTTAAATTATATGATAAAAAAACATTCCAGTATCAAAGAAAGTAGATACAGAAAATGGCTTTGTAGATACATAAAGTAGATACAAAAAATGGATAAGTATTTTAGCAGAGATCTTTCAAAAGTGAAATGGAAATGAATGATCCTACCAATAGCCATATGGTTAAGCCTCTGAATACCGGTAGTTCTGCCTGATTTGAGCTCGAACCCAGGAGAACGGAATGGATGCATTTTTTTCGTGGTTTTCTCCATATGTAATGTGAATACGTTCTAGTTTCTCACTGAAAGTCTCCACGAAGACATCTTAAATAGATAGCCCTAGTGATTTTGCCTTAATTTAAATAACCTAACAAAACAACTAACAATACGTAAAACTGAAGTCGTATCCAAATCGTATACGGAAATGCCAAAATTGACTTGACGGAATAGTGGGAAAAAAACCCTAAATTTTATGCTTTGTAGGAATGTAACACATGTGTTATGTATTTATTGAGGGCAACAAATTGGTTTAAAATATACCTTTAATGTTCAGTTCATTGACGCCATGTCGTATAAATTTGCTGTTACTTTGGAAATGCAAAATTCCTAGGGTAGGTCTCGATGGCTGGAGACAATTTAAGTTAGCGGCAGAATACTGAAAGGAACAGAGGGTAGGACTAGAGGCCTTACTGATAGAGTGGCTCAAACAATTAAACAAATCTCTGTGTGAGCAGGTGCAGGAAACGAAGAAATTTTTTTCCATGAAATCACTGTACTTTTTACTAACTAAGCACAAAAACGTTTTCATATCGTTGAAGGACCGTTCCCATAAGAACTTTGATTACATCAGAAGTGAAACCAAGAGCATCTCTCATTTATACATTCTGTAAGCATGATCTCAGTTTACTTTCCGGCATCAGGAAAAAGAAATGTGGAGTCTGCGACGAAAACATAATACACCCTTCTTGACTTCTCTATCAGTCTGATAATACACTGAACTTGAAACGTGTACGGCTTTGCCAAATATCATTACTTCCAAGCAGAGCAATCTTGACCCATAAATTACTGTATGTAAGTTGGCGATTTTATATTTTTATACTTGAATTCACGTATACAGGTAAGACTGTTATCAATTCTTTAAATGCTTGTTTTATTTTATCATGAATATAAGTCCGTTTTCTTTAATTTTATTTGTTTCAGAAAGAGATACGTACCTGATTTATGCACGTGGATCCTGCTGAAATAAAGTTTGTAATAATCTTAAGTTTTACTAACGTTTATTTTATTTTAAATATTTACTATCACTTCTTATTTTCTACTTCCAGCCAGAATCAAAAGCTTTAACTTATTTATGCAAATTTGTCTTGCGAACGCCAAGTACTTAAGTTGTGGCTTTTTGCCAAGCAAGAGAGAGAAAGGAGCTATTAGAAGCAGGCCGCTTGCCATAGTAGTTTTACTCGGTTGTTGGTTGCCTTCAAGGCCAGAGGTTTAATCCTCTTGATAATTTTAAACGTATCGTAGTGTTAGCAGTTCTATGTACTACATACGGCTTTTTGCTAATATACGGCCAATCTTGGAGTAGGTACTTGTTTGATTAATCCAAAGTTAAGTTTAGTTAGAGTTTAGTTAATATTTTTATATTCTTTACGTTCAGACCACAAGTGGTTGGTCTCTGTATTCCGAAGTTCCGGAAATCATTGTAAAGTATAGAAAAATAAAGGGTTTCGTATACCCTTCCTGCATGTGTATTGTCTACTTCCAAACACATTTATTGAAACATAGCTTTAGTAAGCTTAACCCTGTTCCGAGTCAGGACACATTACGTTCCCGAAGGCAAATAAGGAGAACCACAGAACCTGATGGCGCCCGACGAAGAAGAATAACCGTGGCCGAGTTTCAAGAAGAACTGTGTGCCTGCAGAAGCGGCTCAGAATCCAGAAATGCCAGCTGCCGCCCTGGAAGGATTTGGTTACATCGTCCAGACCATGCGCGCATCGATGAAACCAGTTCGAGAAGAAAAAACAGAACCACCAACGTTAAACCTTGACCACCTGCCTAAGGAAGAGCAACAAAAAATTCGACAAGTGGTAAGTGAATTTGCTTCGTTATTTAGTGATATTCCAGGATTTACTCAAGTTACTAACCATAGTATCGACACCGGAGATTCAATGCCAGTTCGCCACAAACCATACCGGTATGATAAGAATAAGAAAAAAAATTATAGAATGGCACATTAGAGATATGTTACGTAAAAAGATCATAACGCCCATCTCAAGTAGTTATGCTAGCCCGGTTGGTTTTATGTAAGAAAAATAATGACTATCCATAACACATCCAAAAAAGGTGGCGTTTTGCAATTGACTATCGTAAATTAAAACTCCATGAACTAAATATCCGGTATATCCGTTACCTATTATTGAAGAAATTCTAAGGAACATAACTTCTACCAAATATATGACGACTTTAGACTTAACGACTGGTTATTTTCAAATAGGGGTTAGACCGGAAGGACGTGCCTAAGACTGCTTTTATAACCAAGTCTGGCACTTATGCATTCCTGCGTATGCCGTTTGGCCTTTCAGGGGCACCGGCAACATTTCAGCGATGTATGGACATTGTGCTAAGGCCTGTTCTTGGAAAGTCCACATTTATCTATTTAGACGATATCATTATTACTAGTGATAATCTGGACCAACATGTACAGGATTTAAGACAGGTGTTTTCATTATTAAATGAGGCCGGTCTAAAAGTTAATGTCGAAAAGTGCAAATTTGCAGCCCCTGAATTAAAATACTTTAGGTTACAAAATATCTCAGAAAGGAATCGAGACAGACGAATCAAAAATAATCGCTGTGCAAAAGTATCCGACCGCCAAACACGGCGAAGAAGCTCTCTTCTTTTCTAGGACTTTGTTCATATTATAGGTCCTTTATAAAAGATTTTGCAGCTATTGCTGAACCATTGTTAAAATTAAAAAGGAAAAAGGCAAGATTCTCGTGGACGGCCGAAGCCAATAGTGCTTTCGAAAAATTAAAAGCAAGCATTAACGCAAGCCCCTGTTTTGAAATTTCCTGAAAAGGATGAGAATTTAGAAATTTCAGCGGATGCTTCGGATTATGCGGTAGGAGCGGTACTTTCGCAAAATCAGCAGCCCGTGGCATTTTTTAGTCGAACTTTAAATCAAACACAAAGAAATTATTCCGCGACTGAGAGAGAGGCACTTGCAGTTCTGTTAGCAGTGCAAAAGTTCCGAGTCTATTTTGGAAGGGCGCCAATAACAGTGTATTTCTGATCATGCGGCGGTGGT